CCCCCCCCCCCCCCCCCCTTCCCGTTGTTTTGCGAATCAAACGCATGTTCAGCCCGACCTCGTGGCGGCGTCGAATTGGCTGCACATTACCAGCAAACAAAGCACGATGCGGCCGCACGTCAACAACCGATCTCACAAATAAAAACACAAAAGCAAACAAAAATGCAGTGGGCAGCCCTGCACCACATGGATAGATAAGTTGATCATCATCCTCGGCGCTATTTATTGCCCAGGCTTACGTATAACACGGACGTGAGGGTTAGGACGGCGGAATTCGAGCCATGGGTTGCCCGGATTCGCGTACAACACGGACGGACGACAAAGTTAGACCAAAAACTTTTTCTTAGCCTTAGAGTATGCCGAAGTGGTCGTCGAAAGCGAACAACGCGAGGACGTCGAACTGCTCCAGGTTCTCCATGCCGTCGTCCGGCCATCCCTCCGACCCGTACCCCGCCAACTCGTCAGTCAGGCCATCCGAGGACAGCGTGTCTCCGCCGCTGCTGCTGCCGCTGTCGCTCGTCATGCCGAAGACGCTGCTGGTGGAGACATCGTCTTGCTTGTGGCCCTTGCTGCCGCTGCTGCCGCCGCTGCTGCTGCCGTCGCCATCCATGTTCATGTCAAAGGCACCCGGAGAGATTGCCGCCGCCGCCCGCCGCAACTTGTGAGCAGCGCCAGAGTCACCGAACGAGGAAGAGGAGGACGAGAGCATGCTGGTCGCGGTGGCTGCCGCAGAGGCGCTTTTGGGTCGAAAGTGAAACACTTGGCCCAACATCCGCTGCTGCTGTTGCTGGCGGAACGCCGCGAGGCGCGTGTCCAGACCGAACGCCTGCTCGTCATGCTTGAGGCTTCCAACGCCCGCTTCGCCGACAATTCCCGCCATTCCAACGCCTACCGGGAACTCCAGCTTGTCGTCCAACACACTGCCGCTGCCACCGCCAAAGTCGGAACGGCGAAAGAACACCGGGCTCGTGCTCGCCGCGGAGAAGGGGTTGAGAATGCCGCCACCGCCGCCGCCGACACCGTTCCCCTCTCTAATAGAGCCGAACCCAGCAGCATACCCACTGGGAGAGAAAGACCCGAGGCCTCCGATACCGGGGATAGGGATTCCGGTCGCGGTTGGGTCGAACGGGGTTCCGGGGTAGAGCGTGGCCGTCGAATCCGGCAGGCTGCCGAAGGCGGCCACGGCCGCTGATCCCGACGACAGCAACACCCGTTGCCGCTGCTGATGCTGTTGCTGTGCCTGCTGCAGGCGCTGCTGCTGCTGCTGTTGCTGGAACAATTGCTGCGCGTTGTGCCCTGCAGCAGTGGCGGCGGCGGCGGACGAGAACGACGACCCCGGGCGGGCCAGGAGCAGACCATCGTCTCGTTCGTGCTTGTCCCGTCCGAAGCGCTTGGTCTTGACGTTGTGTCCACCGGCGAAGGTGGGAGGCGAAGACAAGGCATTCATCGAAAACGCGGGGGCTGCTGCTGCTGCTGCTGCTGCTGCCGGCAAGGCTTCCACGTCGTCGCCGCCAACGACAAACCCATCCAGGAACGTCTCACACAGGAACGGGGAGAGTTGGCTGCCATGCAGGGGATCAAACATCAGCAGCGACAACGGGGGGAGGTCATTTT